TGATCTCCTCTTCCCATATCCCATCTCTTATCTATAAACAAATCCATAAAACCTCGTCATTTCAGTCCTGATGTCAGCAAAAGTCCATTAAGGATCACCAGAGATAACAACCTATTTTAACCTTGATCAAGTAAGCCAACTTTACATTCCTTCCTTTTACTTCTAACAATCTTGAACTTCAGTCCCATCAAATAACAGATGGAGAGGAGAAGCAACAATGCACTTCCGCTCTTATTGTGTCCACAGATAGCCATCTGGCAGCCTTGTTTAAGGTGACATGAGCTCTCCTGGGGGATCTGGAGGTGCACCTACAAGGCCAGGCAAAGGAATTTGTGAAGCATCTGTCAGACAAGATTGCTCGAATTCATTCCACGTTGGACGCCAGCTTTGATACAGGTCCAAGAGAGATGCCTGGAGTCTTCCCAGTTATCTGGGAATGGTTTGATCCTGTTGAGGAATTGGACAGGGTCCTTGTGACTGTGAGCTCGGCCACCTGCTCCTTAGATCCATACCCCTCCTGGCACATTAAGGCAGCCCGGAGGGTATTGTGTGGTTAGATCCTAGTGGTGGCTAATTCTTCCCTGAGGGATGGGGCTGTTCGGCTGCCCCTTAAGGAGACATTGGTTCGTCCCCTCAGGAAACCGTCACTGGATCCCACCATACTGGACAACTTTCATCCAGTGTCCAACCTCCCTTTTTTAGGGAAGGTTGTGGAGAAGGTGGTTACACAGCAGCTTCAATGGACGCTAGATGAAGCGGATTATCTGGGCCCCTTTCCGTTGGGATTCAGGCCTGGGCATGGGACGGTGATGGCATTGGTCGCGCTTCTGGGTGATCTCTCAAGGGAGCAGAATAGGGGTAGTGCATCTTGCTCTTCTTGACCTCTCTGTGGCCTTCAATATCATTGGCCATGGTATTCTTCTGGATTGGCTCTGCAGGTTGGGAGCAGGTGGCAAAGTTTTGCGCTGGTTCACTTCCTTTCTGCAGGCTGGTACTAGTCGGTGGGAGTGGGAGGTCCTGCCCTCGACCCCTATGATGTGGGGTTCTGCAGGGTTCAGTACTCTCTCCACTCCTATTTAACATCTACATGTGGCTCTGGGTGAGATCATTTGTTGCCATGGGGTGAGGTATCATCAGTATGCTGATGATACCAGTTATAGATCTCTATCCCTGACCAATTAAGCAATGCCACTGACATCTTGTCCCAGGGCCTGGAGGCTGTGAGGGTCTGGATGGGGAACAACAGGCTTCAGCTGAACCCTGGCAAGACTGAGTGGCTTTGGGTTTTGGGGCCTACTGGTTCTAGGACCATGCCATCTTTGGTGCTGGATGGGGTCACACTGCCCCAGGCAGACCCAGTGTGCAATCTGGGGGTCCTCCTGGACTCACAACTCCTGCTCAAAGAGCAGGTGGCAGTTGTGGCTAGGAGGGCCTTTGCACAGCTTTGTGTTGTGCAATTGTGTTGTGCAATTGTGCCCCTGGATTGGGAGGCTCTTCCCACAGTCACTCATTGCCTAGTCACCTCCAGAATGTATTACTGTAATGCACTCTACATGGGGCTGCCCTTGAAGAGCATCTGGAAGCTTCAGCTGGTGCAAAATGCAGCTGTGCAGTTGTGTGTGTGTTACTCCCCTGCTCCGCGAACTTTGCTTCTGGGTGCAATTCAAGGTGCTGGTTTTGACCTTTAAAGACCTACATGGCATGGGACCAGGTTATTTGAGGGACCATCTCTTCCCAGTTACATCTACCTATCCCACCAGATCCAGCAGAAGAGGTATGCTCTGGGCCCCATTTGCTAAGGAGCTCCATCTGGCAAGACCCTGGAGATGCACCTTTTCTGCTGTAGCCCCCACCCTCTGGAACATCATTCCCCGAGGTGAGATTAGCCCCATCTCTGTTAGCCCTCCAGAAAGCCTTGAAGACGTGGTTCTTCCATCAACCCTGGGGATCCCATGGCAAGCCTGCCAAGTGATTGAATGAGGTTAAATGATGGTTGTCTACCCGCTATCTTGGGGTTCTTTTATGTTTTAATTCATGTTTTTATTTTTTATTTTTGTTGTTATGTCTGATGTTTTTTATATTGTGATATGGTTTTCATTGTTATTCTACTTGCAAGCCTCCCAGAGTCACTTTTTGTGAGATGGGCGGCTATATAAATTTGCTAAATCGATGAATCAATCAGTAATCAATCTAACGGAGATTGGTCTCCTCTCCTCATCAGAAGGGCAGAAGGAGTGGATTTTAATGAGCAGTTCCAAGGGAAATAGTCATGGGAAGGGGGTCTAAAGAAGGTGGCACTAACCTTATCTAAATTCCTGGTGTAACTGATTTAAGCAGCCTTCTCTTTCCTATTAAATTACAAACATCAAAGGGAATCACACAGAAAGCATTTTTTTTTAAAAAAATAAGAAAGCTATGACAGCTTTGAGGGACATTTGCCTTAAAACAGTAGAACAAAGCAAGATTTAGGACAGGCATGAGTGGGCTCGGCAGGGCTGAACGGAGCACTTGATGCAAAGTCTCAAAATTTTGGAGGAACAGAAGAGCAGAGAGTCCAGCTGATAAAGCAACTGAGAAGCCCTCTTGTTGCAAACAAATATTCAGACGGAGAAGAAAAAGTCTTCTTGGAGTGCAGCTCAACTTTTGCTGACAACTAGATGCACCCATAATGCCTTCTTCTGGGGTATTCTAACTTTCCAGTCTAGCCTACAGCCCTGGGATTTCTTAGTGGCGTCCTGTCCAAGGACCAATAACGTCTAAGGCTACTTAGCTTCTTCAAGATCAGCCAACGTGAACTGTTTTCTTTTAAACAGACAATCCTGCCTTTCTGTTTCCTACAGCCACTATTTCAGCCCCAAGCTCTAAACACCAGTGATGGCGAAACTACGACACGCGTGTCAAAGGTGATGCACCACAACATTTTGGGTGACACGCCAGAGTTCACCAATACCCAACAACAACTATTCTCCCTGTTTGCATTACCAAAGAAACTGAGTTTGTTTTACTCGTATTTCATTTTTGTAATTATTTGACTTTGCTTTATATCATACATAGCACCACACAATTGGACTGGATTTTTTTTTAAATAAATGAATTTGCAAATAATGGTTTCTCTTTTGTTTGGGAGGGGGGGTAACGCACCAAAAGAATCAAGTTAGGCATTTTCCAAATTTTTGACATGCCGAGCCCAAAAGGTTCACCATCACTGTCTCAGATCCTGATTGCTGACACAGAAAAACTGAAGCACAATAAAAGCCAAATTCACAATCAAGAGGTCTCTTACCCCGTTTCCAGATTTCCCTTCAACTCAGCTTCCTAACAGGCCTGCAGGAAAAAGCCAGGCAGTTGGCTGGACATTATGAATTAACAGCTAAGTTACAGCTGGACTGCTTCTTTCTCGGCCAAAAGATTTGGATTCTCGGCTGCTTTCCACACTCTAAGCTCAGTCTGTTCGGTAAACAGGGAACGTAAGCGGTTGGGTGGGGTGAGAAGCGCCTCTGATTTGCAAAACTGCTTTCCTCCAAGCTAGACGTGGATTGAAATGCTCTGGGGGATCCTGTGAGCAGACAAACCCAGCCCCACAGCTGCAATCTCCCCAAAATCGGAGGATCCAGGACTAGAAATGGAGAGGGA